AATCTTAATTAGACAAGGATTAATAATTTCTTCGCTTAATTCGTATAGAGAATGAAATGTTGTAAGTGAGCAAAAAACTGATTTCTTATCTAAACCAGATCATTTGAAGTTATACATAAAATAAGGTTATTCATTCAAGTTTACTAAGATCATGTACACAACATACAATGATTGAACAGTATGCCATTTGTCAAAGGTACGAAAGTAGTACAACAATTGACTTGATTATGAACTAGCAACTTAATTATATACACGTACAAACGATACAGATAAAAATTCAAATGAATTTCTAATCAGATAGTGATGAAACGATCCACTTGAAGGCGGCAAAAATAGCTACTTTCATCTTATTCGACATCAAAATTGGCTTTCAGGCTCAAGTAGTGCAATCAAAACGTGGTTACAAGACCTATACCCAACTCTTCGGCAAGTTCATCCCACACTGGAAGGAGTGTCAATACTACGAGGATAATTGCCGTTGTAAAAACCGTCTTTCGCCAAGTGCCAACTTCTGTTACGTCGTTCAAACATGGTTTCTCAGGAGTCCTCTGCATATGGTACGCAAAATAGTTATTATTTTCTTCATTTCGTGTCGTGCTTCTAAAGGTTTGCTTCTAAAAAGATAGACCAATTGAAGACAAATCATACCACTCCTAATCCCAGCAATGTGTAAGTGGCCAAACCAGAAGCAATCAAGGCACTTTTTCCAAATGCTCCCTGTTGAAGAATATGAGAAATAATAGTTCTTAACCTCATCATGGTTTGAATGTACACAATTGGTTCCTAATAAAATTAAAAATGCACATAAATACCCCAGCACATGCAAAGCTTGAAAATGAAACTAAAATGTAATTGAAGAGCTATCTGAACAATATGTTTGACGGTGTGCAGAAAGCTACTTAGCGTTTAATGGCAATATTTAAAGCTTTCAATAATTTATCGAAGTTTCACTTTGGATGAAGCAATTCTCATTTTCAAACAGCTGTTATCAAGAAGTTCGAAATAGTGTAGCAATTCCAAGCTAAAGAATGAAAAAACGATGTAGATCATAAATGTGAAAATTGCAACTGGATTGTAATACAGGACAATCATATGTTCCAATTCGATCAACAATGAAACTATAGATTCAATGGTGAGCGGGATGAAAGTAGGGCCATAAAATATTTGGTGTCTTATGAGATGCTCTTGTCAGCAATTTCTCAGAGCACTTCAA